CCCTAACCCTAACCCTAACCCTAACCCTAACCCTAACCCTAACCCTAACCCTAACCCTAACCCTAACCCTAACCCTAACCCTAACCCTAACCCTAACCCTAACCCTAAGGAGTTGAACCTGCAATATGTTGGGCTGGCGCTGAAAAGATATCCGGAACTTGGACTACTTCTTAACCGAATTGGTATCGATATCAACGTGGCAAGAAACGCTGCTATCAATTTGGATCCAAATAACCTACCTCGACCCGCACCAGGTGATGTGCAGGAAGGACTGTTGGCATAGATTGCGAGTACTCTTGCATTATTTCGTATCGAGGCCGGCAATACCCTTTTGATAGTTGGTACAACTCGAAAGCGTATTCACAGTACCAAAGATCACCGCGCCGACTTCTAGTACGTTTGATTTGAACATATAGGTTTCTGTATAAGTTGGTGAGAGATAGCTAATTTATGAAGACTTTTCTTTGTAAGGAGTATCTAAGAGAGATGCTTATAAGTTATTGATAATTAGCGGGGTCGTAAGCTGACTTCAAGTACCTGCATATAATTGGGTAGTGGCACGATTTCGGCGCCGTCAGATGTTATTTCTAGTACGGCATAGCTAGATCTTATATTATAGATCAGTAGCCAATGCCTTTCTAGTCCTAATCGGAGCTTCTAGAAGATGAATCCGTGGACCGTGACTGTGAGATGCCTTGCTGCCGTCTTCGAAAAGTTCTTAATGCAAGCAATACCTTCTACGCTTCTAATGACGATAGGATACCTGGTTCATCATCGTCGGGGTATAGGAAGCTTCTAACTAATTCCTCCCATGAGAGCCTTCTACCGTAGCCCCGGACTCAACATGAGAGCCATTCAATATTTCTTGAATGGTCCATGGCCGTTCCTAAAATTGGTTTTGAAGAAATGTACAGATTCTCGACCGTCTTCCAGGAGCCCTGGCCTTCCATGGCATACTTCCCCATAGAGTTGGTCAACGTAGGTCGTTTCTCTTCTGCCGGGCCAAACCGTGACTGGTGATGCTTTCGAGTAGATATGACCCATTCGCATGCCTTGGAGACCGCGTTCTACAGAGCCATTCTGGTTAATGTATAGAGCATCTGCCCGTACGGGCCCCACGTCCAAACCCTAGGCTCGCGAAGGGCAGCGTCGAGGTTGGTCATAACATGCATGACGTGGCCATTGACCAAGGTTGCACCAGTATCGCCTGGGTCACGGGAGAGGTATGAAAGCGCATGATAATGGGGGGGACTGAGCAATGTCCTATGGTCGAGGGTGCAGGAAACAATAGAGCCAGTAGCATCTGGCTTGATTTGATGCAACGTTAATAGCCGGAACTCATAAGCCTGGTAGTCTAGCGGCACGTAGGTGTAAGGAATGATTGAACAGGCTCCCCTTAGATTTAGGTTTGTAAATGCGGATGAGTACGAATAATCGGATCTCAATTTGCCGGAAAAGCCGTACTATAGCGTTACAACACCGTAGAATCGTCGGCTAGTCCAGGTCTCCAACTAGGTAAAGGTCATGATTAGTACGAATGGTTTTAGACATGTAGGTATAGAAAGGAAACTCACAAGGGGTGCGGATAGATCTGGCCCATGTGAGAGGCGTTAAGGTCGAAGTAAAGAGAGCCTGATATAACGGATAGAACGGGGCGGATATGAGGTTGGTATGTGGCAGACGCTGAAAATAGTTGAGATGGAAAGTCTGAAGATAGTGCAGAGCTCGAGGGGTGCATCAGCGCCAGGTATTTTGCACAGGAGGCGGTAGCGGGGGTTCGTGAAGCTCGGCTTCCAAGTAGCTAGAACTGGGTTGCTCTACGTTATGTGGGCAGCCATCTAGTGCTCAAAAGGTAAAGAGTGACTGGTGTCGAAACTAGCTTAGGATTGACGACTTGATCAATTGAGTGTGCGCTCGAGCGTAGCTGGGTAAGTAAATAGGGCTGCTACAGATCACAGACCACCACGTGACTCTCGCGCAAGGAAGACAAAGGAAAGTAGGTAGACTCATCTGGTAGCAATCCGAAGATGTATGAGGTCCTATACCCGGTCCGGATCAAACGAGGATACTTTGTCTGAGGATACTTTGTGCCAATTCGCTGCATGTGATATTGGATAAAATAGGTGGGCGATCCTGAATTTTTGAAGTTGCTATTCCAGCCTATCACGAGCCGCCAAGTACCTTATGTCCCTGAATCCCTGATAAGCCTTCGAAATAAGCTAAACATTTCTGCCGGTTTACACATAGATTTTTAGGATTCTCATCAGTACACTCAATTCATCTCTTCTCTTGTCCACCTCATTCAGTTTAGCCCTAACCCAATCAGCTTTACATCGACAAGCTACAGGCTATTACTTCAATTGAATTTTAATCTCGAGAGCTCACCATGGCAACCATGAACCTAAAACTCCATAAGCTCCTTCGCCCCCTCCGTAATTCCTTTAATACCCTGCGAGGTAATTACGACCCAAGCCAAATTATGAAGGAAGAGAAATGTCCCTTTTGCAGCATGCTTCCAGTCGAGCGGCTACCTATTGGTGTCGAGCCTCCTGTTGTAGAATACCATCTCAGCCATTATGAGCCAACATTGGAAACCAACGCCCCCTTTTTCAACGACCACTCCTGTAGCCTTTTCCGTTTAGTTCGAGACCTATACCAAATATGGTGCAAAAATGGTAATGGCGGAGAATCCAAGTACTGGTTTGGGTGCAGTCCTGAGAACTTCTCCGTATGCACAGAACCTGGTAAGCCTCGATAGATGTGCTGCTTTTCGAGCTTCTAGGTATCATTCTACTGAAACACTAATAGGTATCTGGGACGTGCTTCCGGCGCCATCAGATGCAGTTGTGTACTCGGATCCTCTAGGCGCTCCCACAGTCGCGCGTTTAACGAAATGGATTGAGACATGCAATAAAGACCACGAAGGATGTCACAGCAAAGAAACCCCTTTGCTACCAACTCGAGTCCTTGATGTTGGTAGCTCGCCGTCGTCTCAAGTAGTTAAGTTAGTTGAGACTAGTGGTCAACGTGCCCAATATATTGCTCTCAGCCATTGCTGGGGGGAGTCAAACTCTTTTATGACAACTCGGACGACCATAGAAGATATGAAAAGTGGTTTTTGGCCCGAGCAAGCCCCAGCAACTTTACAAGATGCTATTAAGGTCACTCGCCAGCTTGGAATTTGCTACCTATGGATTGACTCATTATGTATCATTCAGGGGGATACAACAGACTGGGAGATGGAATCATCACGGATGGGAGGCATCTATCGCAACGCCTACTTGACAATAGCGGCATCAAGAGCTGCTGGTGATTCGGAAGGTTTTCTAAAGCCTAGACCACCTGCGTGTTCCGCATTGAAAGTGGTTTCTCCCTCCGGAGACAGTACTCATATCTACCTTCGGCCCCAGGAAAGTGCATATGATTCAGATGATCCACTAGACACGCGTGCCTGGGCCCTACAAGAAAGATATCTTTCCCGACGACAGCTCAGGTTCTCTAAGAGCAAAATCATTTGGCAGTGTCAGACTTCCATGTGGGATGAGGGAGACCGGGACGATTACATTAGGAGAGGTGGCTCTGGTTATACTATCACACGGCTTCTGGACCACCCATTTAGTGATGTAGAGTGGTATTTCATGGTCTCGTTTCGTTACTCCAAACGTCAGCTATCTCACGAGTTGGATAGATTGCCTGCGCTATCCGGCCTAGCGAGTATTGTGGCAGAACATAAAAACTGGAGGTACTGTGCAGGCATATGGTGGGAGGATATCGGTTATGGGATCTGTTGGGTTACGACATCTCCCCCTCCAAAGAGACCAGATTATTATATTGCTCCATCGTGGTCCTGGGCATCAGTCATAGGTCCTATCACTTTTCCTGATACAGGGTATCCTGATCCAGGATATGTCTTACCTTTTCCATCACCACAAACTTTGGATTCCGTCGTCTATCATGATTGCCAGGTGCATTATCAGGGAAGCAACAGCTATGGCAAGGTTGACAGCGGTTGGGTCAGGCTTGAGGCTCCGCTTGTTTCTATTGCGAGAGCAAGTCATTCCGGAGCGGGGGATCGGAATTGGTTTGATGTTGGCGGGATAAAAGATAGAGAAGAACGAGCTAATGTTTGCTTTGATTTTGGAAATGAGAATGAGAAAGCAGGAGATTTGTGGGCTTTATTTTTAATGCGTGCTGAGAATCGGGGGGAAATCGAAAGAAGGCACGCTGAGGACGTAATGCTCACTGGTCTTATTATTCGCCGCGCCCTACATCCATCATCATATGTGTGCAACCAAGCCATAATGCAAACTGGACGAAGCAAAGTATACGAGAGGGTTGGATTCTTCACTTTGCGGACTGAGAAGCGGAGGGAGCGCTTGTTTTGGGGACGAGCAGTTGAAGAAATCGTCATAATTTAGTAAGATAATTTACTACCTCTTTTTCCTGGACCTCTCATCTTTTCTTTCGCATTGGGTGGGATATACTGTATAAACTAGTATATAAGCCTCCTTTTGCTATAAGCCCTCCTAGCGAAACGTTGCTGTCTATGCCAAATATAAAGATAATATTTCGCGCTCAGTTGGAGGAAGTTCGAAACAGCCTCCTTCACGGTCCAGGGGCGATTGCTTGAACTTTGAAGGGCTTCTCACCTATCTTTAGTGGTTGCATGAAAAACACACAGATTTTCAGGTCCGTGGACTTCGATCGATGGACGGATTTTTGGTAGAAGTGCAAAGGAGATCCCACCACCATCACCACCACCCCCTCCTACTATTGCAGCTCCACCACCAGAACAATCTCAGTCGTCACCTGCACCGTGCAGTCCGTATTGGTGTGTGGTGCTCCATTATGCGGTGTCCCAATTAGGCCTGGACGCCTATTTGAGATCCTACCACATGGCAGACGCGAGGTTTTCGACAAGGGTATGGAAATGTCCCTGGAGAGAATATAGTAAATACGGAAGCAGAAACCATTATTATGATTGTCATATCTCACACACGTCTAATAATCAATCATCCGTGAGGCAAATATGAAGTCATCCAACCTGGATATTCAGTCACTGGCTTGAATAACTCTAATAGGGACCAAAGCCAGACTAGGAATGGATTTATGTGCTTCCTTGAAGCCTAAACAGAAGAGTTCTAGGAGCCCTAACAGGAATATGGACCCTCATATAGACATCAACACGATTGTGTGTGGATAGTTAGAAGATCATTCGGAACTGCGTAGAGTGAACATTATCTTTTTGTGTCAGTCACTGGACGAAATGAACCAACCAACACCGAAATCGTCACCGCTGACAAGGGCCAGCTCACGCTTCACCCAGGGGTAGCTATACACTAATTGGGAGCGGGATATCTGCTCCGAGTGCGAAGTCCCAAGTCTCTAGTATGATTGAGCGTGAAAGGTTCTTGCGTAAATCTCGTTCGAGAGATATCCCAATCCACCTCCACCATGAAGGTTTAGGCCTTTGAATGCAAAAAGGTTGCCTGATGATAGAATTCATGAACATGGATTCTTCTTCAAAGGTGGGTTCAGGGAGGGCGCGATACAATATAATCTCCAGGTGCTCAAGTCTTTCTATATCAGAAATGAGCCAACAAGCATGCTGCCATATCTAGGCAGAGGGTAGGTAGGTCCAGTCGTTGAAGACGGCATCAAATGAAGAGATGGTGAAGGGATCTGATCGATTTGTGTACCAGTCACAAGTGTTATGTTGTTGTTAGTCAGCGGCAAGATAACTGTTCAGCGCCTAAGGCAGAAAATTGATGCTGACTAAGCACAACGACCTCCCCCTCTCTACATTGGGAACATTATTACCGACGCTTCTTTTGCATCTTGCTCCCCGATGGGAGCAATGCTCGACGGCAAAATATCCACTGTTTTAGACTGATGTCGCAATGTCTAGAAGGGCCAAGCAGGTGCGGGCCTTGACTATGCAGAACGACGGCAGATACATGTCAGAACTCAATCCAACTCGCCATGTATTTACTAACCATCCGCGATACAGCGCGGAAAGGTCAACGTCCTCACCTCTCCTGAACTTACCCGCGGAAATACGAGCCAGAATATGGGACATTGCCTTGGGACATCGGACAATACATATCAAATTCGCCCCGGCGAGACCGTGGGAACCCATGCGCTGGAGAAGCGGGAGGGGACCGGCATATAGGGAGTGCGAAGGCAAGTTCACGTACATTGTGTGTGAGGCAGAAGTCTCCGAAGAAGAAGCATACAGATACTCCCTCAGCGCAGAATATGAGCAATATATGGAAACGCAAGGGGCAGGCGAGGACAAACGGCTGTCTCGAGATCGACATTCACTTTGCTATCGATGCTACGAAGATAGTGATGATAACTTCAGGCCGTTGCACGACTTGGATGGCACAGAAAGGGTTCATGGAGGTGGACCCAAAGATATAGCACGATTGACCAGCAATCGACTACCCATTGCACTTTTAAGAACTTGTCGCCAGGCATATTCCGAAATTAACCCTATATTTTGGAATACGACGACGTGGTCCTTTACACATTCCCTGGCATTCTCTCAGTTTATGCATCACAGGAACTCTGTTCAGAGGAGTTTGATGAAACGGCTGCACCTTGATGTCAATTTTGCTTATGGCCAGGGCCATTGGGAATATGGGTGGTACAGCGTACTGAACAAAGTCATGCTTGAGAATTTCCCATCGCTAGAAGTTCTCCATCTTGATTTTGGAAGGGTCCAGCAGATCCCTTTTCATTGTAGGGAACTGGAATGTTACCGTCACATCCCTTATTCACAATACGGGATCAACAAGCTGTTGGATCTCTCATATCTACCGTTAACGCAAGTCAGCGTCATATGCACCGAGATTCGCAACATGAGCCGATTGGAAATTGAACACCATATAAGATTGGACATGGCGGAGAGCATTCATACTAGGTTGCTTGACTACCAGGGGAGACAGGAAGCCAAACAGAGAACTAGAAACTTAATCTTAATGCCTTGAAATCGCCTCCTAGGGGAGTGTTTGATTGTATAGTCGGGACAATTGCCTTTCAGTCCCAGACAGCACTTATCATGAAAGCGGATATCGAGTTCGCTGTCGACCAGGATTCGCTCTGCTTTCTCTTCGGAGAGCTTTCGAATCTAGCATATTTGGCCCAAGACTAGCCTGCCATCGATCTCTGAGTTTTGTCAAATCAAAAACCGCTATGGTATGCTCTATTCTGCTGGGTTTGTGTATCGTCTCGCCAAATTCTTCCTATATGCCTCTTATCAGTAATATCTGTAGATCAAACAAGATTCACTATTAGTATCTATACTAAATAAGTATTAGTATTCCACAACACATCGGCTACCCATTCTCGAGAGTCATGAGACAACTGGAAGACGCACCATGCGATGCCGCTTTATAAACTCCAGCCTCAATTTCAAAACGAATCAACAGACTCTTATGTAACCTTTTTCACGCGAGTCCAGCCGCCGTCATCCCGCGGTTCAGGAAAGTGAAAGTCTCTGTTAGAAAACCTCAAGGTCTTTGTCAGATTATAACATACTAGTCTACAGCGATACTGAGAAGGGGGGATCTTATGAGTGCTACTAGTTGTGCGCTTGATATCAAAACTAATCGATTTGCAAAGAGGAACTCGGGATATCAGTTCAACGCTGGAGCTCATAGAATGTGGAGACTTGGTGAAACTTGCCCCCTCTGCTTCTGGAATAGCATCTACGCCCCTACTGTCTACAACACCAACCGTTTACTTGATCCGAATTAAGTTATAGGAAAGACACTTGATGTTGGTTCTGCTTTTAGCTACTGCTTACTTCCAAAGGATGCTCGTTTCCACTTATACTCCCAGAGGCTAGAGCAACGGGGACTCTTTTCTCTACAGGTTGAACTTTGCGCTTCAGTTTAACTTTTCAACTTATGTTCTACTATAGTAATCTGCAAGCAGCAATACACAAGTGGTCTTATAGGGTGGGAAATCCATTGCAAAAGATACCACATGAGTGTTTATAGGGAGGGATTTAGGAGAATTCTACTTATTAGTTCTCTGTATCATGGCTAAATTTAAGCCAACCTAGATATTCCAATCAGAAAATGAAATAAATTTCCGTTCTCCCGGCTTGCTGGCAGTCTAGTTTGAAGCACTATGGGCGTCACACTGTAGTCCTAGTGTGCAGTAATTGATAATACCTCGTGAATAAATCAGGTGTAGTTTCAATGATGCATAGCGTCCAGTTCTCCTCTATTACCAAGCATTAATTGGTAACCCGCGATTTGATCTGTGAGGGCCAGAGGGCGCCAAGGGACCCACAGAGCTGGAGTATATTTGGAGAATATGCTTGGAATTATTCAGTATCAAATCGTAATGTTTAAGTGTTTCGAAGCAGCTTTCTCTGCAGATTTGAAGTGATATTGGCAACGGCAGAAGGAAAAAGGTCCCAAAACAGTTTCGACCAAGGTGATTAAACAAGAATATCTGTGTGGTCCAGGAAAGGTTCAAATACCAGACCATTACTCTCAACTCGGGGCCGGGGTATGGAAATAGGTGAAATTTGGTAAGTTGACGACCGAGATCGAGCTAAAGTGGATCGGACGGCTCGAAAAGAAGGAGGGCCATCGTGGTAAGAACGAGGATATCTGCTAGAGCCGTGGTCTTCAGGATATGTGATTAGTCTAGAGTTCAAGCACAAGGGCACTCTGATAGCTTTAATCTCTTTATATGATTGTGAATTTGTGGTTGATCAGGAATTCGACTCGCAGTTCTTGATTTGTGGTGGGAAATGTGTGTTTGAAACTTTAGTTGTAGATTGAGGTCGTTGATAGATGTAGGCTGCGCAGAAACCCATGGGTCCCTACCAAATGGGTTAGGTACCCACCCTATAGGGTGGGTTATAGTGAATAGGACCTAACCTATAGGTCCCCAAATAAATCCACGACCTAACCCATAGGGTAGACCTAACCCATGAGTATAGCGTGTCCTAAGGCACTAAGGCACTATTGTACTATAGCTCGCGATACTTAAGGTAAGGGGTTGATTAGTAGAAAAATTAGAATAAACTCTATAGATTACTTACTTATAGACACTATAGTCGCGTTACTACGTAATATTATTAAGGCTTAAATCACGTGTTAGGAGGCTTAAATCACGTGTTAGAGGCTCAAATCACGTGTTAGGTTCTTAGTAACCTATAGGTTAGGTCGGGTTAGCTTATGGGTTAGGGCCTAGCCACTAGCCTAAACCTACCCCATAGGTTAGATCCCTATAGGTTAGGTCCTACCTATAGAAACCCAACCCATAGGGACCCATTGCGCAGCCTAGATAGATGTAGGACTGTTTTTGAGATAACAATTATTGTACAAACAGAGACATCAGGATCCCGGAAAGACGAACAATCGAACTCATTTTGAACCGCTGGGTATCAAAAAGCCACCCTGTAGAATCCTTACTCAGATAATTACTAGTGGTTACAAACATATCTGTGTAAACCTCATTATCCAAAAGGTACTCTCGTGGTAGTACTTACATTATCTAGGGCCCTAGAAAACTTTCACAATAGTCTAAGAAACTTGACTAAAAATTTAACTACCAAATTATAAAAGGGCCGGTCTCTAACAAACTAGGAGCGTCAATACAAACAATAAAGCAATTATATTCTAGAATCAAGATTTAGCAAACTATACTTAGGCATCTTGGCTCCATACCAGGGTACCAACTACCAAGTCAAACAACAGTCGACGATAGCTTTATAACGTGTGTCTTGACAGTACAAGCCACATAAAAGTCTATGAATATAAGAGTGCAATGAGATCTCGTGTGTACGTGAGAGACAGTAGTTATGGCTTAACCCAGAATTCGACAGGTAGCTTCTAGAGGTCAGATTTGTTCATCTTTTTTGGCCAGGGTATGAGTGTAGGACCAGATAATCCTGTGCTCCTATAATAGAGGAGAGGAAAATGAATCATCACAACAGAGAGAGTGTTCTAAACACTGCCTAGCACAGTGCCGGGTCAACTTCAGAGCCTTTATTTTGAGGACGTGGTGATGTGAGGTCGTGTAGTTACGCGCATTTCCACAAGTTCAGTAGAAATCAGCTAAAGGTTATTCGCCTGCGGACTTTTGTATGTATAAGGTAGTGAAGACACCAGGAACTTGAATGTGAAGATAGAAGCGCATAGTACCATTGAACTCCTTTCTTGTCTTTCCATTTCCTATCAACTGAATTCATATCAGGAATGTTCTTAAAGCAAAAGTATAATACAATTGCAGCCCTTGCTCCATAATACAACCATCCCTGGTATATTTCCCGTTCATGCGCGCTTGCTATTCAATTCCAAAACTCGAGATCATGTAATCGCTATGAGCCTGCAGCTTTGTCGCCCATAACATCAACATACCCACGTCCCTTCTTCTTCGTCCTTGCGGTGCCTTTCCGACCTCCCGCACCCGGCGGCCCCAACAAATCATCAATACTACTGGCATTACTCATGCTTGTGCCTGGTCTACTAGGAGGTCCTGATGGAGTACCTGCGCCACCGTTTGACAAGCTCTTGCTCATAGGCGGTGGCGCCCCACTACCTGGAGGCGGGTTTCCATTTCCTCCGATAGCCTCCCCGTTCCCTTGGAGAATGGGAGAATCGGAACCTCTCGATGGAGGACCAACAGCTGATCCAGGCTGTGGGGTAGAAGTCGGACCAGGAGCTCCAGACGCTGTTCTCCGCGGACCTGTGGCTTTCGGGGGCGGAGGTGTCGCGGATGGAGTTGGGGTGTTATCCGCGCCCGCTTTCTTGTTGACCCAGCGTTTCAACTCGGGATCGTAGACAAAGGATGATGCTTCGCCAAGCTTGGCACGGATGGGCTTGTTAGATTGTGCTGTGTCTGTGGAATCCTTTTTGGAGCCTCCTCCAAACCAGCTACTTAGGCCCCATCCACTTTTCTTTGCCGGTGCTGGTTGCTTGTCGCGTGCAGCTATAGAGCTTTAGTTAACATCTGTCACTGAGGAAGGAAGGGAAAAGACATACCATCAGCTTCAGCGGCTTTGCGGAAGGCTTCATCGGCCTCACGATCTTTCTCAGCTTTGGTCTTTTCACGAGCAGCAGGTACAGCTTTCAAAGCTGGGATGTCGTCCTCGTCATCATCCAGGAAGGATTTCTTCTTCGGACGGGTCTCGACCGGGGAGTCAGGTTCATCGTTCATAGTGGTAGGCTCGAAAGATGGTGGTTCGTAACCACTGGAAGGGGGTTCGTAACCACTGGAAGGGGGTTCGTAACCGGAAGAGACTGGAGGTTCATAAGATGGTTCCGGAGGTGTATATGATGCCGTGGGTTGGTCATACATATTGCCGGCGGAGTGTGACGACGGTAGCTCGGGCGCCGAAGCAAGTTGATGAGATGCATACGGGGAACCCATCTGTTCATACAGAGAGCCATTGCCATGAGGGGCATACGATGAGTGCGGCGTGTAGATCGAGCCATTTTGAGGCGCAGACAGGGTAGGCTGCGAACTTGGACGGTAATCGGTATCTCGTCGCACAGGTTCGTAGGGTCCACGTCGATGCTCGTCGGAGGATCTTTCTGATGATCGCTCATCGAATGAGCCTCTGGATTGCAAGCCGTAGAGAGGCGCCGACTGATACGACGCAGCACTCTGGGGTTCATAAGTTGGTGGGGAGTATGCATTTCCTGGAGCATATCGTGATCCCGCTTTCGTAGCGGGGCTGCCATTGGGTCCCATACCACCATTGAAAGAGCCATACATGTCCGCGACTGACGGGGAACGGCTTATGGTTGGGGTACCTCCTGCAATTCTAGCAAAGGGGCCCACTTCGGCAGCACCTCCAGCTGTCGATCCAGGGGTGCCAGTATCAGCATCATCACCAGCAACAAACTTGTTGAACGTCGACCAGACTGAACTAGAGACCTTGTCGATACTGGGTTTGGAAACCCAAGAAGATTTCTCGTCTTTGGGAGATTGCTTTAATCGTTGGCTGAAGTCATCAAGCTCTGCTACGAGCAACGCGTGGTGGTATGGTGACCTCCTAGTTTGAGCAGTCATAGAAGAGGCAATAGCTTCACAGTACTGCAGTGCCTTTTCCCGGTATCCGTATTCAGCCAAGATCTTCGCGTGTTGTAGCTTGTATATCGAGAGATGTGGACTCGATACCGCTACGGAAACATTCGAGAGCGATATCCCATAATCGAAAACTTCACTCAAGAGAATAGGCTCCAACTCTTTGTCGAACTCATATGGTTGTCGCAAGTGGTCAGAACCAACGAGCACAATACTTGACAAGGGATCATCAATGCCACCAAATACCGAGTGAGACCTTGCAAACAGAAAGCAGATATGTGCCGCTTCAGCTCTCCCATATCCCGACAGGAGTTTCCCCAATGCGTTAAGAGCCTGGCTGTCATCGACGCTTCGGTTACTCAAGACAAGCCCAAGCGTCTCTCGCCACTTGTCCAGGCCATCTAGGGCACCCTTCGAAGGCCCGGTTGCATTCGAGGTACTGACCATCTTGAAGCCTGCGCGGGCAGAGGGCGGTACGAGCTCATCGATACTTTCCTCGAAGTTGCCTGCAAATATTTCATAGAGTGCTGCTAATGACTCGGTGTTCTCGTAGATATTTTGCACCTCCTTCTGAACAAATTCTTGGGCTACCTGTTTGTAAAGTGCCTTAGAAACGGTGTTTGAAATGAGCATCGCATGGCCCCATAGTCGCTTGTCAACAGCTTCCCACACAGCCTTCTCGCGGTCACCTCCGAGCAGGTGTTTCTTCAACTCATCGATTGCTGCCGGGTCCACCGGATCAGCCCTTGCATCGGTCGTCGCAGAGTGAGAGATGCTAGAGAGGTCGGCTCCCGTCGCATATAGGGGTTCGTTGCCAGAAACCTTCATATCAACGCCAGGTGACAGAACTGATCGAACAGCTTTGTCTACCACCGCGTTGCCCTCCAGGATACCATCATTCTCGATAAAAATACGTAAAATCTTCCAAAGAAGTATCCGTTCCTCCGTGCGCTTGTCTTCATGTGTCAGAGTCGGGATGGACTGTAGATACGACGCATTTTGCTCCAGAATTTCAATGCCAGAACTGAGCCATGAAATAACATCTTTCTTTTTAGACTTCCCTTTCAGTGGTCCAGGAAAGGTCGAAAGTCTCTCCTGGAGAGGGTCGACGTCTTTGATGTTACGGATCTTCACTTCGCCTGGAGTCCGTATGACCATCGGCGCCTGATTCACATATCGAGGCACATCCTTCGGGAAAGATGTAACGAGCGCGCCACCGACACCCCAGGCAAATACTGGAGCTCCTTTCCATCTCTGTAATGGATCATGTTCTCGACCATCAGTTGGAGCAATGTAATTCAACCCGGTGGAGAACGTTCTGGCCCGTCCTGGAGATAAGTTTGGCATTGGGGGCAGACCGGCATTTGATCTAGGTGACAATGGTACCTCTGCAGAAGCAGGACGTGGAATGGGAGTTGAAGTATTGATTCCAAGCCTGGGTCCAGTGTAGGCTGTGCCTGGAGATTGAGTTTGTGATCGCTTGGGGGGCACAAACGCTTGCGGTGGGGTAGTGTTACCAGAGGGTTGATAATTCGACATGGCATGTTTTGGTGGTGAATAGGGAATTCTCGATGCGGGACCTTGAGATGGGGGCGGTGTTTGAGACACTGGCCGCGGTACAGGTGGAGGATGCGACCCTGGTCGTTGGCCATATTGATTTGGGAGGTCCGAGTGATTCCTTTCATCTGAGGAAGTTTGCTCATCTTCGTCCACTTCACGGGTTGGGGGAAGGTGATGGGGTTTGAGACTCGACTCATACGAAGAGCTGCTACGGCGGCCGAAACTGGGTACCTGCGCCTGAGAGCTATGCGTTCCTGAATCTTGGGTTCTCTCAAAGTGAGCGAGAGGACTTGACGTCCGGGGTAGATGAGGCAGAATAGGGGGTGGCGGCCCATTGGCCAGGGGCACGCCATAGGCTTGTGCTGCTTGTCGCGAAACAGGAGGCGCGGGAGAATATCGAGACTGAGCGACAGGTGGAGGGGCTGCTTGAGCATGCGGCTGCGGTGGCGCAGGCGAGTAGCGTGATGCTACAGGTGGTACCGTCGCGGTATTCGATGGGAGAGACGCGTACGGGCTAACACGTTCGGGGGCGACCAGCCCCTGGGCAGGATGGGTGGGTGGTGGTGGAGGGGGTGTATAGCCTTGCCCAGAGGATGGTTGTGGAGGTGCCCCGGATGAAGCAAAAGGGCCTTGAGTTTGAGAGCTGGCAGAGTGTCTTGCTGCAGGCTTTGGCCTGGAAGACACAGGCAGATCTTCGAAGAAGTTACTTGAGCTGGCTTTCGATTTCAAGGACGGCGGCGGCGGACCCTGGGTGGCGGGGACAGCAGCTGATTCCTGCGGGCTTTGCTGAAACGAATGACTGGTGGGTGGAGGAGACAAGCTTGATGTGGATCCTCGCGATGGAGGAGGTGGTTGTGTATACATACTTGCGCTCCGGGGTGGAGGGGCAATTGGAGGCGCAGTTGGCGGTGGAGCGGATTGATTGAACCCACGATTCAAGTGTTGCATACTGCTCCGCTTTCGAGGTTTGACAACTTCCATCGGCAAATCATAAGGTGATGAATATCCCCCTTTTGATTTGTCTGCAAAACTTTGAGCCTTTGGTAATTCCGGCCTTTGTTGTTGTGGTTGCGAAGCAGGAAAGTTTGAAATAGGAGGCGCATAGGCGGCGGGAACAGCAGACGCAGTTCTTGGTCTGGAAAGATCAGTGAATTGAGGAGCAGGAGGGGCATAAGGGTTGCTGGATTGAGGGACCGTCGCGGCTGCGCCAGCAGGAATGTATCTGCTACTACCAGGTCGACTTGGGGACTGAACGGCGCCCGTCAGGCTGTCAAATCCCACCACGTGACCATTAGGGGTAGTAACAGGACCTGGAATAGGGGAATTCCCTGGCTGGGACGGAGTCTCGACGGCCGCATCCTGCTCCTCGGTATCCTCCAAAAAGCCCTCGTCATCACTTCCAAATAGATCGGCCGGATCTAGCGCTTTTCTCTCGGCTGGTTCATCGTCTGGCAACAATTCCTCATCGTCGAGGAATTCGTCACCAGCCAAGGCAGCTTTCCATTTCTCGGCAAGATCGCCTTCTCCGGAAGCCATTTCTAGATTGGCCAGATTTTCAGGTTGTTCATGTATAGGTGCTTCTGGGTCCCCAAGAACTTCTGACAGGACAGTGCTTGCTGATACTGCAATTCCACCGCCTGTAGCTCGTTCCAGCGAACTTTGCGAGTTCTCGGGTGCACCATCATGCGTCTTCTCGTGGGGTTCAAAAGACAAGGAATCCATGACTTGCTCCGTTGACTTCCTTCCAAGGGGGCGTGGTTCCTGAGGTTCTTCAGTGGCTTGGTGCGTCTTGCTGACCTGAGCAAAAAAGTCATCCTCGTCCCCAGCATCATCCATAAAAGCCGGGCTATTCGTAGCGGGAGCTTGTTCATGGTTTGGCGGGGACTCCACAAGGGGCACTCCCTCCTCATATCGAGCTTGCATTTCCTGGTCTTTTTCCTGTAGAACATTACCACCATATGTCTGCCCATAGTCGGTAGACTCATGCTCGTTATTCGTTTCTCGTGGAAAATCGTGTGAAGCCTCCTGGGCAGCAGTTTGTGCGAAGAAATCCGCATCTCCGCTATGCTCATCATCTGAAAATAGGTCTCTGGGCTCCTGCTCAACCTCATTTATTATCTCCTCCGCTTGGCTCGGCAGTGGCTCGAAACCGACTCCTGACGGATGGGTGGGTGGAACTTGAGGGAACGAATTCGTACGGTCAGATTTAGGCATTAGCTTGAAGGGGTCGGTATCTGTTCGGTGTAAATTCCACTCCGGGTCAATGTCGTCGTCTTCCCCCAAACTAACCTCCTCCGACACGGTTCGAGCAAAAGACATTGTGCTCATGTGCTTGTTGGCAGTTGAGCCTTCCGGTGTATTATCCCTTCCATCCTCACTAATGGCATCTTGTTCTGGGATCCCATTGGGCGGTTGAGTCTCATCCAATTCCACCGCGCCTGGACTGGCTAATGCCGTGGTGGGCGCATTCTCGAGATTCGTTGGCTCCGGATGCTGGGGGGTATCTTCGTGCTCGGGTATCATTACTTCCTCTGCATCATTGCTGTCTACAGTTGCTGGATGGGTGTGTGGTGGCTCTGCAGATTCGAGGTGATGGTCGGGCGCAGGCGTTGGACTCGATGGCCGGGTCAATTCCTTGGAGGCTAGATCGGCCGCAGAGTTGGGCATGAAGGCCGGATGCCATGAAGCTGTCTCGGAGGGCATTGCAACAGACATAGAAACAAGAGAGGACTAGACGAAGCTGTCAGTAGTGACATGGGGACACAACTCGTGTCAGGAGCAGCAGTCGCCAGGACCACTCACTTAGGTATTATACAGATCAGATCGCTAAAGCACAAGTTCAGATGGATGCGTATATTACGAAGGACCGGCGGCCATGCTACAGTCCTGCAAGCGGCATTGCAGAGTCCCAAAGCCTGGGAGTCTGGGGTCTGAAAAAAACGGGGGGAAAATCTGGGGGATCTGGGAGGTTGAAGATGGTTGGAACTTGGGAAAGGAGAGGAGACGGGGATCCCAGCGCTGAGGGCGGCAGTTCTCGCGACTCGGCTGTTCGTGACGGGTCACGGGACGGGACAAGAGGCCAGTTTGCGCTACGTTTAGGTACAGACGGAGTATCAGAACCGCCCCTGGTGTTCACGCATCAAGACACAAAGGGGGAATTTTCTTTTTTTCTCTTTTTTCTTTAGCTGGGCATCACAGTGCAGTCTGTAGTTAAAGACACGTGTAAGATCTCAGACGACCATATTGGATATTTATCAGAAATTATTCCGATTTATCTATCTACGCGTAATATGGCCCTGTGGCGGTCTCTGTGGCTGTGCGGCGGCACAATTACCTGTGGCGCTCTGGCAGCCTCAGGCCACATCCCCGATTTCGATACGGTGACCGGCTGAGCCCCAAGAGACATCGTCGCTCGAGCATGACAATATCCCAATGTATCTCGAGCAACATAATATACCAGCAAATTCCAACCATCTGACTTCCCAGCAGCATCCTCAGTATACTTTGTGTACACTGTCTATACCCTCAGAAAACCCCCCAATTGCGCATCCTCCGGCAGTCGCTGGCCAGAGGCAAGGCAACAGGAAACCCATTTCCGCAGCGAACATCCCTATATCATATGCCGCCAGCAGCCTCCCCATTGTCCATCCGTCTTCCTACTGCTCCTCGACGCCAACCTCTCCTACCGCGTCAATGAGGCATGTCGTCGGAAGGTCCCCTTAAGCCAGATGCCCCCCAATTCTCTCCCGATGACTCCGATTCTGACCTGGAGCTTGACATCCAAGAACTTGATCCCATCACAACATCCAACCCCCCGCCTACGCGGAAGCAACGGAACCGGCAAGAAGAGCGAAGGGGAGGCAATATACCCTTGAGGAATCTACGTATGGGTGGTCTGCGCGGCCTGGGGAAACGAAATGGAGGACCCAGCAAATACGGAGATCTAGGGCGAGATAGGAATACGGACACGGAGGACATGCTCGGTCTGTTACCAGACGATGCGGCGGCTGGGAGAGCAGATCGAGATTCGGCAGGGAGCATCAACAGCGTGGACGCCGATGCGCCGTTGCTTGCGGGGAGTGAGCATCGCGGGCGATCCAGTATGGATGCCCTCCACAAAGCCAAGCGCTTGGTCCGACTACCCAGTTTCCTCTCAGGCGGATCTGCCTCACAGCCCGTCCCTGATGATGGCGAAACACAAGGAGAAGAACATGACCCGGCATCATCTCGAATTGTGTCAGTTGGCACCTCTCAATCTACCCGCTTCCCTCCTAATGCCGTCTCCAACGCGAAATATACTGCAATCAGTTTCTTGCCCCGAACCCTGTATAATGAATTTTCCTTTTTCTTCAACATGTACTTTTTGCTGGTCGCGCTTTCACAAGCGATACCTCCTCTACGGATCGGGTATCTTTCCACATACATTGTACCATTGGCATTTGTTCTTTCGATCACACTGGGGAAGGAGGCGTTCGACGATATTGGACGGCGGAGGAGAGACACGGAGGCGAATTCAGAAGGGTATACGGTTCTATGTTTTGATAAACCGGGAGGGGGGGATGCTGAAAGATACCATGCGAAGAGAAGGTCAAAATTAAAGGCAAACAAATCGAATAGACGATCGCTCGTGGAACCAGATAGATTGTCCGATATTCAAGAGGAGGAGGAGAGTGCAGAGGGCCTGGGTCCCCAGGCGCCTACTGCAATTGTTCGGGAGGAAGTTCGGAAATCGCGAGACTTGAAAGTTGGGGATGTATTGAAACTGAGCAAGGATCAACGAGTTCCAGCGGACGTGGTCATCTTGAAGAGCTATACAAACGAGTCTGCTGTTGCGTCGACTGAGATGGCTGCTACAGATCTACCGGAATCACTACTGGTGGATCCTATCTCTGATCCCCCGATTGATCAGAGTACTACGACTGCTACAGAAAGCCATGAATCGACTTCAGAACTTGGGAACAGTCCTGCTGCTGATGCTGGGGGCGTTGGAGAAACATTCATTCGGACTGATCAACTGGACGGTGAGACGGATTGGAAGCTGAGGTTGGGTTCGCCGTTGACCCAAACCCTCGAGACCTCCGAATTTGTTCGCCTCCGTGTAACCGCCGGAAAGCCGGACAAGAAGGTCAACGAATTCATCGGGACTGTTGAACTACTACCAAAAGATGCAATGGGGTATGATCCCCATGTAGCTTCGCAAAGTGGAAACTCGGCCCCCTTAACGATAGACAACACTGCTTGGGCCAACACTGTGCTGGCCTCCAATGCCACTACGTTGGCTGTCATCGTTTACACGGGGGCCCAAACTCGATCAGCGCTCTCAACATCCCCATCGCGCTCGAAAACTGGTCTTCTCGAGTACGAAATCAACTCGCTCACAAAGATTCTATGCGCTCTAACTCTCACACTTTCAATTGTTCTTGTTGCTCTAGAAGGATTCCAGCATGTCGAGGGCATCGTATGGTATGTCAAGATCATGCGCTTCTTGGTCCTGTTTTCTACCATCGTTCCAATCAGTCTCCGGGTGAATTTGGACATGGGGAAGAGTGTCTACTCTTGGTTCATCCAACGAGATCCTGGCATCCAGGGAGCAGTCGTTCGAACCAGTACGATTCCAGAGGAGTTAGGCCGGATTGAATACCTCCTCAGTGATAAGACGGGTACCCTCACACAAAACGAGATGGAAATGAAGAAGATCCACGTGGGGACTGTTTCCTACGCCAATGAAGCCATGGACGAAGTGGCTACATATGTCAAACAAGGTTTCTCTGTTCCAACATCAACGGACGCGAACCATCCTTCAATGCTCATCACCCCTTCATCGATCTTGGCTTCCACTGCGGTCACGTCCACAAGAACTCGCCGCGAAATTGGATCCCGCGTTCGCGATGTGGTCCTGGCATTAGCAATTTGCCACAATGTCACTCCTCAGATAGAGGAGGAGGGCGGGAAAACCATCACTTCCTATCAAGCTTCATCGCCTGATGAGATTGCAATCGTCAAATGGACCGAGGCCGTTGGTCTGAGATTGATCCATCGCGATCGCAAAGGGATGGTGCTTCAATCCGTGGACACTGGGCGTCCTTGTGTCCGTGTTCGCATTCTCGAAATCTTCCCCTTCACATCTGACGGAAAGCGGATGGGAATTATTGTGCAATTCTTGGATGGCTCCGAAGACTCCAAGGCTAGTAGTGTCGAAGCTGGAGAAATCTGGTTCTACCAGAAGGGCGCCGATACTGTGATGACTTCCATCGTGGCCGCGAATGACTGGCTAGATGAAGAGACTGCGAACATGGCTCGTGAAGGTCTTCGGACCCTGGTTGTTGGACGGAAGCGAATGTCGTTCCAACAGTACGAAGAGTTCTCAGCCAGCTACAAGGAAGCCTCAGTGGCGCTCAACGGCCGCGACGCAGGTATGGCACGGGTCGTCAGTCACTATCTAGAACACGATCTTGAGCTACTTGGTGTCACGGGCGTCGAAGACAAGCTGCAGAAAGATGTCAAACCGTCTCTTGAGCTACTACGAAACGCTGGCATCAAAATCTGGATGCTAACAGGTGACAAGGTGGAGACTGCTCGCTGCGTTGCTGTCAGCGCAAAACTGGTCGCCCGAGGTCAATACATTCACACCATCGCAAAGCTGAAACGGAAAGACAATGCGCAAGATCATCTCGACTTCTTGCGATCCAAAACTGATGCCTGCCTGCTGATCGATGGCGAATCACTCTCTTTACTCCTTACCCATTTCCGTACCGAGTTCATATCCTTGGCCGTCTTGCTCCCAGCGGTGGTAGCGTGCCGTTGCTCTCCAACTCAGAAGGCGGATATAGCCAAATTGATTCGAGAGCACACCAAAAAGCGGATCTGCTGCATCGGCGACGGCGGCAACGATGTGTCCATGATCCAAGCTGCGGACGTCGGTGTCGGAATTGTCGGTAAGGAAGGACGCCAGGCCTCTCTCGCTGCCGATTTCAGTATTGAGCAATTCTGCCACCTCACCAAACTCCTCGTATGGCACGGTCGCAACTCTTACAAACGGTCCGCGAAGCTGGCACAATTTGTGATCCACCGCGGACTTATCATCAGCGTCTGCCAAACCATGTATTCCATTGCTATAAAATTCGAGCCCGAAGGTTTATACAAAGACTGGCTGCTCGTGGGTTACGCAACACTTTACACCATGGCTCCCGTCTTCTCTCTTGTTCTCGACAAGGACGTCGACGAGAACCTTGCAAACCTCTACCCCGAACTCTACCGCGAACTCACTACCGGTTCTTCACTCTCCTACAAAACATTCTTCGTCTGGGTCTTCGTGTCCATCTATCAGGGCTCCATGATTCAAGGACTCTCCCAACTCCTCACGGAAGTGGACGGCCCGAGGATGGTTGCTGTGTCTTTCACAGTGCTAGTGTTAAACGAGCTTTGCATGGTGGCCTTTGAGGTTACGACCTGGCATCCGGTTATGGTTATTTCTCTTATTGGAACGCTGCTTATTTATGTTGCTAGCATTCCCTTCCTCGGAGGGTATTTTGATTTAGGATTTATGATGACTTTGTATGTCCCCCTTCTGTTTTTCAGCCCTACAATATCTACTTATCTCGCCTTCTATCTGGAGACATTTGCTAATTGGAGTAGGGGTTTTGCCTGGAGAGTCGCGGCCATTTCCGCGGTAAGCTTGATACCACCATACTCGGCAAAGTTGATTCGGAGGGCGATTAAACCTCCTAGTTATCGGAAGGTGCGGGGAATTTGAGTTTTTGATTTTGCGGCGTAATAAATAGGCTCTGGGATTGACATTTTGGCTGCGCGGGCTGTGTAGCATAGCGAATGGCGCTAGGCGGTTTTGTATATCTAGAATAGATGATTTAACAGTTGCTCACCCGGTCTTGGTACGGATAGTTCACTGTGCGTCTTCATCGTTTGGGGAATTACTGGGGGATGATACGCAAGTGCTTGTAGGTCAACAGTGCTGGATCATGAATAATAATAGTAGGTTGATCTCTAAGAGCAGTTCAGTCTCTATAAAGTGCCTTACTATAACAATCTTTAGAGCAGTTTGACCTCTGATTTGCCGACTGGTTTGATCCAGAAATCAGGAATCACACTTCGACCCCCCCCCCCCCCCCCCCCCC